CTGGCTCCAGAGGGGAAGATGGTGCACTGCCAGTGTTCTGGAGAAGCTTGCTATGTTAGCTTTCTGGATGGAAACTCGGTTTTTCTGATCATCGGAGGAGTTTGGGACCTCACTGTTGCTGAGGATGGCGGTGGTACCTTTCTGGGGAGCTCTGGTTCTTTGAGTGTCGCTTCCTACTCCAGTGCAGATCCCTCAGCCTGCTAGCACAGATCCTTTATCTCGCTGGCACAGACTTCCTAGATTCCACCACTGACCTTTGGGCCTTCCCAGTGCAGATCCATGAAACAGGCCTGCATGAGATATTGTTATGGGCTCTAGGCCTCCAGTTGGATTCGTGGGAGGCATTGTTATGGGCTCTAGGTCTTCAGCTGGACTCATACAGGACATTTCTGTGGGATCCAGGCCCTTGGCTAGTTTCCTTGGTCTTGGTGTGTGGACAGATTTCCTGCGCTCTTTTGTATAGCATTCTTCGGGTGACTATTATAAATAATCTTATAAAATGCATGTCCTGTATTATATTGTTCTCCTTGCAAAGTATCCCCCAAACCATAACGTCACAGATTACCTGAAGCTCTTTGGGTGACAAAGATAATGATTTGAGTTGTTCTGTGCTTAGAAATATCTATTTTCCCAACCTCAGTCCCACTGAACTCTTTAGCTTTCTCCTCCCTATCCCTTGCTTTTTCCTTCCTCCCTTCTTCCTTCCCTTTCTGTCTCTGGCCCCCCTCCCCGCCCCAATTCATCTGTAGAACCTGGGGTTGTTAAGATAGTTCCTCACCTTGCTCTTTGTTACTAGTTCTGCTGTACCCTGCTGGTTGGAAAGAATGGTCAAAAATTGGAGCAGAGTTTACAGTGGTTTATGGGGGCATGCGAGCCCTTCTCTCAGACAGTTTTAGAAAGCTGAGAAAGGAAAAGCTACCTCTGTAGTTTTTGTTTGTTTATGTGGTACTGGGGATTGAACCCAGGGACTTCACATTGAGCTGTATCTCCAGGCCATTCATCTATCCATCCATCCATCCATTTTTAAGATCAGATCTCTCTAAGTAATCCAGGCTGGCTAAAACTTGAAGTCTCCTGCCTCAGCCTCCCAGAGTGCTAAGATTACAGGCATGTGCCTTTATGCTCAGCACATCTGCCACCTGTGGTTTTTTGTCTTGTTTTGGTTTTGATGGAACAGATGCCCTCACTGTGACCCTTAACATCAGTTGACAAGCATGTTTTGTTTGCTGTAACCATATAGGAGCCATGTTTTATTTTCCTTGTTGTAGACAGAAACCTAAAAGGGTTTCTCTTGAGTTGCCCATAATTTTAATACAGTTGCACTCATGTTGACAGAATTGTTTGGAATTAATTGTGTAAGGTTAGATATCATACAGCTGCTCCTTTTGTTTGAGGATGGAGTTTGGGATGACAGCACAGTTAGTGTAGGATCTGTGCATTGTGTTCATACGCTTCTGTTCCAGATTTTAAAGTGCTTCATAGGTTATGGTCTGGCAGGCCAAACTTAATTCAAAGCTTTCCATTTATAATAAAATCACCCAGTTATCAAAGCTGGGATATATTATCACTGCCAGTTACTCTTGTTGTCAATTTGTCTTGGCTCAACTATGGTTCTATTTGTACTTTACTGTAATGTAGTGAATACATTGGATTGGGTTGTTAGTTTAACAAGCTCTCTGGAGAACACTTTCATGATGATACATGTTCAGATATGCTTGGTTGCCATAAAGTTATTTGTGTATTAGCCAAAACCTACAAAAATTCATTCACTGTAAATTTTTTAAAGCCACGGATGAAGTAAATATTTTGTTATTTGATGATTATCTAGGACATTTATAAATATGAGGTATTAATTCATGAGTCACAGCAACATTTCTTTAGTGGTTTTGATTTTATGGTTTCTTCCTTAAAATTTTACTGGATATATTACACTGTGTCCTTTTTTTAAAAGTTATTAGTAGTTACACTATCACTGACTTGTGCTCTGTGTAGTTCACTTTTGTGCTTTGGGCAGGAACTCAGTGATCCTGGCCAGATATTGAGCTAGAGTTTACAGAAAATGTTATCAAATAGCGGGACTAGCAGGGCTGTTGATATTCACAGTATGCAGCTGGTTTAGAAATGTGCTGTAATCTCCTCCTGTGCCCTAATCAGTTGCATCAAAATTTCCAGATCCACAGCCTAGGAACCTATGTTTTATGTGATTCCCAGTATTTTCTGGGCTTAGGAAATATTTTAATAGTTTTATCTGGTGGTCAGTGTGTGTGTGTGAAATTCCCCAGGACATTAAGATTTGTGCAGTTCATTCTAGCTCTAGTTGAGCATCGCTAATCCAAAATATGAAGATGCTGCAAAATGGAAAACTTTTGAGCCTTGTGATACTTCCACAAGTGTAAAATTCTATTCCTGTCCTCATGTGTTGAGTTACAGAACACAGGCACACTAAAAATGCTGAGTAAAATTATCTTTAAACTGTGTGTATGTAAAGTATAAATTAATTTTATGTTTAGTCTTATCCCCACAGTACCTTACTATGTTGTATATGTAAACATTTAAAAATTCGGCTCTGAAGTCTGAAATAGTTCTGGTTCTAGGCTTCTTGGGTTATAGGATACCCAGTATGTGTTTCATCTTCTTTATGTTATGCCTTTATTAGAAACCTCTTTTAAAGTGTAGCTCACTCTCCTGGTTAAGTGAAATAGCTTGCAGCGGTCACTTAACCATTGTTAAGGACCCACTGACCACATAGTTGTGACCCAAGAGCAGTTAAAAATGTGTAAGTCTTGATTCTTAGAAATACAAAATCTGGTAGAAAAGAAAAGTGATTCTACATAACATAAAACTTAACAGTTTATAAAACCGTTTTGTATGCATGATCTATGAACCCTCTGGCATATTGGTAATGGTTACTATTCCCATTCTTTTTTGAAGAAACTGAATTCACTTCCCCGGATTGTTCAGCAAGTCTCAGGGCTGAATAATGGGGGAGGGGATTATTCAGCAAGTAATGGTTATTACTCCCTTTCTTCTTTGAAGAAACTGTATTCACTTACCCAGGATTATTCAGCAAGTCTCAAGGCTGAATAATGTCTTTCTATGCCATTCAGGCTGGCTTTGAACTCATTGTGTAGCCTAGGCTGGCCTTGAACTAATGATGATCCTCCTGCCTTAGCCTCCCAAGTGCTGGGATTGCAGCGTGTGCCACCATACCTGCCCTGGCTAAACTGCATCTTCTATGAAAGTCTGTAATGTCCCAGAAATAAGAATGCTTTGTTCAACAAAATCAAAACCTTTCATGAGGGGCAGGGATATAGGTCAGCAGTATAGGGCTTGCCTGGCAAGAAGAGGCCCTGGCTTTGATCTCCAGTACCACCCCCAAAATTATATGGAAGCATAAGATACAGCATTTTGTGGAGCTGTAAAAGCCAATGCCTAGGGGACACCTATGGGAGTGGGTTTTATGTTAGGTTTGCATGTGGCTCGTTACCTCTTCATGTTGTCTATTTTCATGTCACAGTTACCTGTTTGAGCCTTTGGACTTTTAGTATATTGAGCTTTCTCTGGTGAATGTGATTTGTAGAAAACATTCAACTGAAATACCCTGCTCTCTGGCCTTTCTGAATTTCCCTATTTTTCATTCCCTCATTTTCAGATTCTTGCATTTCCAGGTAGTATCAGCTAGTGAACAGCCTTCTTCTTCATTACATACAGTGTTTATTACCTGTTCTATATTCTTCAGCTCTTGATCGTTTTCCATCTAGCCATTTAGTGCTGTCATGTATTGCTGTTTGTTTATATGTATATAAATTTTGAGTAAGATTATAAGTGATTTGTGGGACTAATCTTGGTGGCAGATAGTAGGTATTGCTAGGTGATCTTTGAAGTGAACAGCGTGCTTACCTGGGTTTTCCTCCCTGGAAAAACATTGCCATCTGTGTCTTCTTATACCCACCATGGGTTGCTGCTATTATAGCCTTGATATAGGAAAGAGTGAGCTAGACATGGGATCTCTAGAGCAGGTCTCAGAGCTCTTTCATTTTTCCTCCTTTTCAGTAACATCAGTGATACTAAGTCTTCTCATTGATGATGTACTAAGAAAATGCTAAGTAGCTGCATTTTCTCTCTGCTAGTCACAGTCACCTGAGGAACCTTTTCCGAGTAGATGTGTAACATTTACCTCCATGTTCTGATCCTTTGTGATCATCAGCATTGCCTTTTCCAAGTCAAGCCAAGAACCACTGGCTTTCATATTTATATAGTAACTTCCTAGTTCAAATGGTAGGGTGTGGTTGGTGGGGATGTTGGGGTGTGTACCAATATCAGCTTTAGAACATGTTGATGGTCTTGATCCTGTAGAATGAAAACACTGCTGTTTAAGCCTTTACCCACTGACAACTTATATCCCCATGCACTCTTGAATTATGCCTGTGCACAAGAGATCTTTGGACTGACCAAGATTCCAGAAAGGCGCTCTTAATACCATATTTTTTATAATCAACCTAGATATTCTTCCTTTGTCAGCAGTGCTTTCCTTGTATACTAACATGATCACTGTTTCTTCTGACAAGCACTGTTGATCCTTAGGAGCTAGTTTTTTGATAAATTCAAAGGTAGAGTGGCCACTGAGATCAAAAGAGGGAATACTCTCACTTACCACTTTGTGAAAGAACTCATCTCCCTAAACTTGTGGATAACAGCTGTTCACCTGGATCTGAATTCTAGTTAAATTTTTTGTCTTTTAACCCCTTAACATTGAGCGATACTTTTTATGAAAAGTATGCTATAGTGTAAAAAATATTATGGATCTCTGTAGACTAAATTGCTGAACCGAAATTAGATCCTTAGAAAAAAACCACCATCACCATCACCATCTTTCCTGCTACTCTTCCTTATGCACACTTGCAAGTTGATCATTTCCTTAGATTTCTCTCTCGTCAGGGTGTACCTGCTGTGGGCATGTGGAGGATATGTGACTGATGTGCCTGCCTTTCTGTTTTTAGGTGGGCCATGCACAGACACAGCTCATGTCTCGTTAGTCACACCAACCAAAAGGTCCTGTGGTACAGGTATGTATGTGGATTCATCCTTCCTGACTTCTTCACAAAAATTAGCCACTGGGTTTAAATTGTTGTGCGTAGGGTATTCTCTGATTTCTTTCATCAGTTATGAAATGATATATTTTGTGTGTGGTATTGGCAGTGGAGTGTGAGCAGAGGTCAGTGTAATGTTCTTTGGGGTCAGTTTGACTGAGTAACATTGCAGTTTAAAGCCAAGAAAGTGAACATCAAAATACACCTACTTCCTTAACATCCAAGGATGTTATTCGGACATGAAACATACATAAAATGCAGATGACTGCTTAGTTTGTAGCATGCGGCTAGTTTGTCATACATCTTGAACCTACTGAAAAATATCCTTGAAGGATGAAAAGTAAAAGAAGTTTTAGTACAGAAAAGCATTGTTTCAACCTAACTATGATAGTATCTCAGTAATTTTGGAAAATTTATTTTCTCTCATCATTATAAAGCCAGGGGATGTGCTGAAATACTCTTTTCAGATGTATGGAGTCCCCCCAAACAATCTTTGTGCGTGTGACATTTTTATTAAACATGAAGTCATGAATCTTGTAGCTCTCTAAAGAGCGCTCATAATGCCCATTGTTCTTTAGCCTGTAGCTTAATTTACTTTAAACAGTATTTACCTTTTCTAATAATACTGCCTGCTGTTCAAAGTAGCTCAAGGATTATGTTTGGAAGAGTCAGAATAATTATATTGTTTTTCTAAAGGTCATAGTCAAAATATTTTTCATAACTTTAAAGGTTCATCTAACTCAACAGAAATCACATAACTATTTCCATGTATAATTCATACTGAAACCTTAACTCCTTTAAATACTTATAGTTGGTTTTTTTGTGTGTGTGGTACTGGGGATTGAACTCAGGAACTTGCGCTTGCCAGGCAGGCGCTTATGCCACTGAGCTATATCCCCAGCCCAAATACTCAGAGTTTAGATATAGGAAAAATACAATTCCTGACCTGTTAGATGTCAGATATGCCGAGTTCATGGTCTTGCATCATCAAGGAATAATGAAGTTGTGAACCAATGGAGGAGGTTAGGAAAGTTTTTTTGAAATTAAGAAAAGAAGACTAGCTCTTGGATTTTGAGGAGGGGTCCCACATGGGTGGCCACCGAGGCCCTTTGTCAGAGCTCATTTATACAGCAAAATCACAAGGGGAGTGTAATGTGGGTTGAACTGTAATCAACCTATGGGATTATAAGTATAGCTTAGCTAATACGGATGCAATAGGGAAATGAGTCACATAGCAAGGGCACATGAAAAGATGAAAGGAATTCATGGAAAGGTTAGGGAGTGTGGGTCCAGACATTCTGGTTAGCTACCTCTGTATTAGATGCCTACCTGCAACCAGGTGATGCTAATTACAGCATAATTCCAAGTGAGTGTTTATCTCTAGGGAGTCCTGGAGGCCTTGCTCTCACTTCTTTATCCTGAGGTCTGGCTCTCTTCAGATTTGCCTACAGCCACAATTCTGATTTCTTTTTGTGCTGATTTCCTTTAGGTCCAGTCCCTCTCTGATTATATACGTATTAATTTCTACCTAACTTAGCTACCTCTGATAATGTGATGTTAAACACTTCAAGCAGACCTAACTATGCTGCACTTTCAGAGTAACATATGGGCATTGACTGAAAGAGCTTTTAATTTTACTGTCTTCCCCAAATGACGCTTTGAGGCTGAGGAGTGTGCAGAAGTCCAGGCATGTTGTCATTGCTCCTGTCCCGTCAGCAAGCAAGATGATTTCTCCATCTGATAGAGGTGGAAGAGATAGATTTGTGCCTTGGAATAAGACAGATGGTCCTGATGGGCCAATGGGAAGTTGGAGGTAGCTTCTTACCTCCTCTAGCCACAAGCTTGAAAACTTTCAGAGCCCTTTTAGAGCCCTTTTGATTTCATATCCAATAGTTCATAGTCATAGTGTACACATTCATTTGTGCTTCAAGGCTTGGCCCTCAGGACAGGATTTACTTTCAGCATGTTTAGGTAGCAGTGAGACAGTGAACCATGAGCACATTGGGTCATCTCAAGAGGTTTGGGAAAGAGACTGATTGCTGTAACTGAGTTTAGATGCTGAAAATAGTACAAACTTGCCCTGAATTATCACGCATTTGGTTCTGTCTTTTAGGTAGATCTGTTTCCCTCTCTCTGCTTCCATACTGCCAGGCACCATTCAGTGTACTTTTTTTTTTTTTTTTAAGTTATTTTAAAAATAAAAGAAGGAAAACATATTAACAAACAGACATCCATTTACAAAATAGCATAAGAACGATACAAACAGTACAGAGTTACAGACAAAATGATAGGAGATTAACAGTGGTTGTTGTCAGTGTACTTTAAATGCATGTTCACTTAATCTTCAGAACAGTTCTGCAAGACATTTATCGTTCTCTTTTACAGGTGGAAAAAACGAGCACTCAAAGTTAAATGTATTTTCTGAGGTAATACTGCTAATGAGTAGTGAAGCCAGGACTTGAGCATAACTCTTTAAAACCTAAACGTGTGTTGTTTTCTGCTATATTTTGTTAATGCTTTTCACATGTTTTGTAATTATTTTTTTCTACAACAGACGGCAGAAAAGCATATAATTGAAGTTCGGAAAAAAACACAGCACATACTTGGAAATATAGCATAGTTAAGTACTTTTAAAATGTAGCATCTAAAATTAAATCGTTTCAGAGCCCAGCTTCAGCTACTAATAAATTACGATTTCTTTTAAGCAAGTTGACATTTCAACATTTTTTCTTCATCTGCAAAGTACAATGTAAAGACTGATAGGATTGATAAGGAAAGAAATTATATATAAAGCTATTATAATCTTATCATTAAAGATTATGTGAATACAGTGGACACCTATTGGGTGGTACTATAAACGCATCAGTAGGTATTTTAGGCAGAAGGAGGAGTGAAATACGATACCAGTACTCATCAGCATACCCAGTTTGATTACTTGAATTTATAGTGACCACATTCTGCCTTGCTTGTCAGTGTCATGGTAGGAACTGTGAAGTCGCATCTTCAGGTGTACGTAAATGAAATGAGAGTTATTAAGCTCTTGGTCATGAATTTCTAGACCTTCATTAGGTGAATACATAATCTGAACTAGAAAGAGATTGAGAATTTTTGGTTTGGAAGGAAATTAGTACAGTGTCGAGTGATCTTAGAAGCCTGAGAGAAAGTTGAGATTTCTCCGCATGGACACTAAAGGTTAGCAAGTTCATCCTGCTGTACCTGTTTTTAAGAAGCCTATTTTCTGCCTCAAAAGCTGCTAGGGCTAGCCAGCCACTGTAGCCTTAAACACTGGCCCTGACTCTCAGGCACGGAGCTTCCTGATTTGTTTTGAGACCACAGCAGTCTTTGTCTCCATCCTCTGTGTCCTTCAGTCAGCAAGGCTGCGCATAGTGGGAGTTCTGGTCATTTTTCTTCTTAGTATTAGTTTCTTCAAGAGTAGGATTCATGCCTTTTAAAATGTGTTCTGTGGTGCTTCTCCAGGGATCTCCCAGGCATGGACCTTCAGGTATGGAGGGTCAGTGAGTAATTACCTTACAGTAACATCATTACTTAGGAGCCATAGCAGGAGATGAAAATAAGATTTTACTGACCTCTTCCTAGCCAATCCATCCATTTAGGTTTAGACTACCTAAAACAGCACTGAACTTACTAATGGATGTGTTAGAGAAAGGACACTTAGGCTAGCATAAAGTAATTCTTTAAGTCAGCAGCTCTGAGTAAGGACATGTGTATATTTTCTGAGATATGAGGAACACTAGTGAAAGTTCTTTATCTCATCAGCCTTATAAAATTACTGTTTTGCAAATTCATTTCTACATACATCTATACATAGTTTATAAATAGCAAATAAACATATGCATACAAATATATACATATAACAGGCGCATGTGACTATTTTAGATAGGAGTGTGCATCAAAAAATGATTAATGACCTCTGCTCTAGGCAACAGGTCATTGTTTTAGTACTTTAAGTTAAATCTAAAGATTAGCATTAGACCCATTATAGTGTGGCTTAGTAAGTAAAGACCTAAGTGGTTAATTAATAGGTCTTCATTTCAAGTGACTCTGTTTTGATCAGGTCGAAGATATTGTCATAGTTAAGAGAAGTGGACCACAGTGTACAGTGGTTTGGTCTCTTAACTTTCAAAATGTGTGAACTCGTTTTAAAGATCTGTAACTCTTAAGAAGCAGGTTACAAAAAATGACTGCAGTAGCAAAATGCAAGGTCAGTTTGTATTTGTGAGCTAGATGGGAAAGAATTTCTTTAGATGCTGGTGTTCAGCCACATAGAACTATTAACAGTTAAAGTGAGTGTAACTTTTAGGTACATAAAAATAAGCAGCACCATGATCAACTTGATGTTTAAGGAGAGAAAAATTGAGTGAAGGAATGTGTGGTTGTTGCTGGTACACCCCACCCCTGTTCCCTTTGTAGAGCACAAATACATCTAGCAGAGTTGAAAAAACGATACCAAATCCCAGGTTGCTTGTAGTTAGAAAGTGAGAGTTAAAGCATATCACACCTTCAGATTCCTAGACAGAGTTTACATTGCTTTAAAGATCCCAGAATGTTTTCCACATGTTCCTTTGTTAATTCTTACAACATTTCTGCCAGTAATAAGTGCATTGTGAAGGAAAGAATTTGCTTTCTTTGGCAACAAACCACCAGGAGATGGAGATACCCATTTGTCCTTCATCCTGTCTAGTCATCACATTATGCAGTGATCAAGAACATTGTAATGTGAGCTATGATCATCTCTTTTAGGTAATTTTATTTGGAAGATATAGATACTTAGGTGGATATTTTTGTGGCTAAAAGCACCTTATAGGAAAGTTGTTTATGGCCTTTCATTAGGTTTTCTTATTTAAGGTGTTATTTTCAGAATTACAACCAAAAAATGTCAGTTTGTCTTTTTATTTGGACTTGATATTTATAAACCTGAAATTTTAAGCTGTAGTGGGTGAATGGAACTATATCTG